GGCTCCTGAGAATCAGCATTGGTATGCTTTTTTCCTCTTTGTGTTGCATAGTAGCTTCTCTTGTTGCTCACAGATTGGATAGCAATTATAATTCTGCCAGCATGTTGTGGCTTCTGCTCCAGTTTCTTCTGTTGGGAATGATGAAAGGAATACTGGAAGAAGGGTTAGAAGAATTTCTCCGTGACCATCTAGACAGTTACTTACAGGTAAAAGCAGTGTGCGATATTGCGGATAGTGTAGGAAACTTTCTCAGTATGATACTCACAGCAGCTTCTCCAAGCAGCTGGGTTGGCAGTGACAATGACATTAGCAAAAGTCATCTTGACAATTACTATCGCATGCTGGCAATTATAACCCTATCCTCCACATTTTTGTTCACCATTGTTGCCATTGCCTATGAATTACGGACAAAAGAGGATACGGCAAAGAGTGGGAAGAAGGGCTGAGGCTCAACAATTAATTTTCTGTTTTGGGTATTTTGTGCTTGACTGTTTCTTTGGATGTTTTCTTAGATTCCTTGTGCGTTTGTATATTAAGCTATACTTTGTTTAATTATTTGTGTTGAATAATGCTATAACTGGATGTAACAGGTCTACCTTCCCCAGACTAACAAATCCTCAGGTCTTCGCTTTAAAAAGTTGCTGCTAAGAAAGAAAACAAAACTTTTACTTGAAGTTGAATTAAACAATATTGTTTTGGCCCTTTTGGGACCTGCCAACTTAAACAATTTATTTGTCCATTCAATCGTTTTTTTCACTTGAAATTCTTGGATTTGCACGGATAAAGGGTATGCATTTTATTTAATTTTGCTTCTATGAAACTTGATCCTTCATAAGGAGAGGGCTTCTGTAGTTCTGTTTGCTCATAGGATTTTGACTTGACACAGTTTTTGCTTTCGAAATTTACCCGTTTATAACTTGAATTTTCAGTGAGCTGGCTGCAGCTCCCAGAATTGTAAAATTAAAGTCTGGGAAACTCCTCAGGGTAGCTAATTTTTGAATTGAAGGTATCCCTTTTTACATCCTTTACAGTGTCGCCCAAATGTTGTTTATATTTGTTTTAACTTATTGCACTTTTGCACAATTATTCATGTGGTCAGCCAGATTATATTTTTCTATCCATAACTGTGCCTCTTTAGTTGCTGGTGTTGTTTGTAATCTCTTGCATATTTAAAGATCTTTGCAATCATCCTTGTGGTGCATGACCAATTTGTCTTTTTTTATTTTTTTGGCCCATATCAAGTTTCATCTCTAGGTTATAGAATGATTCCGTCCTTGGAAGAATGCTTGCGTTAAGAGGTTTGTTGTTGTGAACTTTCTTATTAAATTGGCTGCTTGGTCCACTTTTGATCATACTGGGAAACAACATTCATCTCCAGAGGAATTGAATAGGTAGCTTGCTGTTGGGTGTTATTGATTATTTCCATTAGTTGCTTATCTCAGTCAATTACTCTTACACTTCTTTTATCCCCTAATACTTGTGCCTAACTGTGGCTATTCTGTTAAAACCTCTTCCTTAGGTGAAAAGATTATTTACAAGTCGGATTTGAGGGATTCTTTTTCCTAGCTTTATTGCCCAAGCATTGGTGCTACTGAATATAATAAAAAAAGTGAAAATGTTAATTGCCTTTGTAGTTGTTTTTGCTTTACCTTGAATTTTATCTAAACTGGGTTGTTAGCACTATTCAAATTTTTTGATCTTTGTAGTCATTGAGTTTTCATTACTCAGGGTTGCTACCTAATATGTACTTTCAACTGAGGAACCGTTGCATATTTGACTACAGTCCAATAGGCTTCCTGCGTTTTTTAATTCTTTTCTCATATTTTTTTCGGACTTCCTGCATAGAGTTCAGGGGCCTCCTACTTTCCTCTGTATGAGTATTTATATTTCCTATGCATTTATCAAATATAGGTTGCCCTGGAGAGTCACAACAAAATAAAAGGCAATGCCCTTGAAAGATTGATTCCAGGGTTTGATCTTTAGGACCCTTCTGTCAGCAAGCAACCCAAGACACGTATGACAGGTCATTAACAGGTGAAAAGTATGGCTGCTACATTTTTGTGTTATTGCAGTCCATGTTGGCGGTAGCCATTGTTTGTTAGGCTACTAAACTTTAATTTGTCTCCGTTTTAATCCCTTATCAAGAATGCCGTCCGAAGCTATGTTACATGTTTCTGGACATTCTTGTTTAAAAATAAGTTTCACCATTATATTCTGCTGTTATTTTCTTCTGCATATAAATGCAAACTTTACAATCTGTTTTGGTTTGTTGTAGCTTGTAAAACATGCTTATTTCTCATCCCAACACGCAATGGATTGCTGGTGCCTCTTTTGATAAAGCAGTCAAATTGTGGAGTGGAAAAATTTGGTGCTGCATTTTGTGGTCATATTGGGCCTGTTTATCAAATCAGGTTTGAGCTGTTTCCAAGTTCTCCCTGCCTCCTTTTAATTATTTTGTTGCTTACAATCCATTTTGCCATTCAACTGGTCTGCAGACCTTAGGCTTCTTTTAAGGAGGACCAAAGACTCCACCTTTAAGGTGTCCCCTACAAATTTTTGAAGATGTTACTGAGATAATTGACACTTTCCATTTCTTACAAGATTTTAGAAACTTATACTTAGAGGCAGTACAGAAGCAACAGGACTGAGTTTCCCATTTTCTAGGTTTGGGTTATAAAAACACAAAAGTTAAAACAACACCTTCCGACCATGCAGATGAGGTATGCATGTTTTCCTTCCTCGTAAGTTAAAGAATGACTTATCTTCATGTGCAATTAGAACGCTACTGACTCAATCGTTCCGTTCCCCTAGTCAATTATTGCTGCTAATAGTTTTACGGCGTTACCAATATTAGGCACTACACATTTCTTTCTTCCTTTTTACCTTTATTTTATTTTTTTGAATTTACATGGACAAATAAATCATGTTTTTTTTTTTTTGAAAATAGGTAATGAAAAATAAATCATGTTTATAGCCGGAGAATGCAAAAAGCGAGTGCCCCTAGCAGTGCTCTTTTCAGTAAAAGGCCGAAGAATGGTTAGCTCTGTGCTCACTGCGTGGCTGCGTATAAATCATGTTTATAGAAGTCAAGATTTACCGTGAGTGGCAGTTATTCTCAAGAAAGCGCGTTACTTTTGCACTGCGATAGGGTTGAAATTTAACCACATTAATTGACTTCTGACCGCATCTTTGCTCTTTTTCCACACGTAAATACATAAAGATGAACAACTATAACAAATACCAATGTATTTGTTAGCTTCCAGGAGCTATTAACCCCTAGGAGGGCTATTCCCCTCATGAATATGATATCTTTTAAACTACGACATTTATAAATCTGAGGTATTTTTTGTGTTTTGTTTATTAATAAATATTATATTTGTTTGTTAAAAAAAAAAACTAACCCCTAAAATGGTGTTTGGTACGTTGGTGAAACTTTATTTTAAAATTTATGTGTATGATGTAAATAAAGAATTTGACTTATTTTTTAGTTTTTATATAATATATATATTTTTTGATAAAAACTTTTCTAATGAAATCACATTCTAACTAAATAAATCTCAATCAAAATTTTCAGAAGGGTCAAAACTTTCTGTTCATGAAAAGGGGTTGCAAAAATCCCTGTTCATGCAGTCATGCAGAACGGAGTTTGTTTTCCAGGGGACGAACGTGCTTTCAGGCGGCGACCATCTGATGCATCTTCATGGTTTTAGTTTCTATGTTGTGGGTTTGGGAAATTTTGATAAGGATCCCTTGACATATAATCTGATCGACCCTCCCCTTCAAAATTAACAGCATTATTGTTCCTCGAAATGTCTGGCCTGTTTTTAGATTCGAAACTAATAATTCTGGTACATATAATTTTTTATTTACAAAATGAAATTCGTTGAAATTAGGAATACAAGGCTTTTTTTTAGTTTTAATCATGCATTTCTAATTTGATTCACTCGTTGACATTTAGTCAATTTAATTATTAAAAAAATATAAATATAACTAATTTAATCAATTTTTTCATGATGTGTATGTAAAATTATAATTTTAAATTTTATTTTATTTTTATTAAAAAAATAATTTTTTTTATAAATGTGTTAAATTAAAAAATATTTGTATCAATGTCCTTTTTAACCTGTTAATGGAATTCCTAATATTGTTTTGCGTATGGTTCATGCACTCTATACTTGTTTTCTTCCAATTACTGTTTGAGTTTTAATTAAAGTAAATTCGACCGACATTTCAAAATTATTATTGTTGTCATAGTCAATGACTTCTTTTTTGTTTCTCCTTTTTCTTCTCGAATAGGAGTGTGATACATGCATTGCCGTTTCGATCGACACATGGTATGTGGCATGAATGCAGTAATCATAGTTTAAAATGGCAAATCTCCAGAGGCTAAACCGTTACCTCAGCGGACTGACATGCCACCTTGTTATTATAAGGCTGTCCCAATTACATCCAAGGCTGCAAATTCTCCGGATTCTGATATATGTCCTATACATTGAGAGAAAAAGTAGCATTGCAATCCTCGAGATGTAGTTTAAGGACATGGTTAGTCCACACGTATGTAGCACATTCCTATTAAATTTCTATTTAGATTGCGAGTTTAGAAAAATAAATAAAAAGGTTTAAGGTTAGAAACATGCAAAATTAATTAATTAAATGAAATTTTTTATTAAAATCCTAATTTGGTCATCCAACTTTTAGGTTTGTATTGAAATTGTTTTTGAACTTCAAAAAATACCAAAATTATCTTTGAATTTTAATTTTTGGTATCAAAATAATCCTAAGTTTAAGATATCATAACTAACTTAGTTCTTGAATTTGTAATAAAATGTTTATGGGTTTGACTATTCCTTATACTCACTATTAATAAAATGAAAAATGATTGATATACCATTTTGATTTAACACACCTAACAACACCTATTGGTTTAGTAATTAAAATTTGCCATTGAAAATTTTCCTACCTTGAATTCAAAATTGAAAATATTAATTTTTTAATAATTAAATCGGTAGATATTATTAAGTGTGTTGAATCGAAAACTGTACCAATCATTGTTCTAATAAACTTTATTTGCCTTTTTTTTTTAAAAAAAAAACTTAGTTCTTTAATTTTAAAAAAAGGTATCAACTTACTCCTTAAATTTTAATTACAAGTACTAATATGGTCCTTCAATTAATTATATATTGATTTGATACGTAAATAGAAATATATCATAGTAGCAAAATATGATTATTTGATTTTATATGTTATTAATATTCTAAAAAAATTAATTTTGTGAGAAAATAACAAGTTATGTGATACTTTTATTAATGAAAAGGCTATTTTAGTATCAAAAATTAAAATTTAAGAACAATTTTAATATAAATATAAAGGACAATGATCGGTGCACACCCGGATCCAACACCCGGGTGTACACTCTCCACATAAAAAAAAAATTTGGACCGAGTGATGGGCATTATTTTTTTTTTTCATATGATGTGTGCACACCCGAGCGTTGGATTCAGGTGTGCACACATTATTTTCCAAATCTAAAAGTTAAGGAGCTAAATTGTTACTCTAACCAAAAGTTTTCTTATGTTTCTACATTATAATTGTTTACGACAACAAATTACTCTTAATCATATTATCTTAAACTTTTTAACCGGAAAAAATTAAGGTTAAAAATTTATTTCAATGTACAGTACAAAGTGTGCTACAACCTATTATACATAAAAGGTAAGTCAACATTTATTGATGCAAAGCTACACGGCCCACAAACATACTCCTGTTTTCAAACATTGTACTGGCTCAAAACAATCTGAAAAATCTGAACCCGGACCCCTTAATTCTAGCCTTCAGCGAATGAACCTGTCCTCCAGTACTTTTTTATTGAAAATTTGTCATTTCTAGCTAACCACAAAGACCATGAAACAGAGAACCACCAATTAAGGCATCTGTCCATACATTGTCCTTACGTACATTCTTGCATCAGTAAACAAACTGTCCTGTTGTTTAAACATCTCTTCCAACAGTTGTCACCCATAACTTGAGTTAATCCCCATCAATTAAAGCATTTGACCCACACATTGTATGCAAAAATGATGCACATCTTCAAT